CCTGCACCACAGCTGCGAAAATGCCGACGTCCATCCCCTGCAGCTCCCCCCCCCGTTTTTGGCCGGTTTCCTCCTTCATTGACCCACTTATCATTCCGACCCACGCACCAGCCTCACTCACCACGGGCTCTTTCCGGATCAAGCACGGCATATCTAGGTCGTACTCCGGCCCGAGCACGGCTTCAGCGCCTGCCGACTCGGGCTGGTTGGTGCCCTCCACACAAGCAATTGCACTCGCCGCGGTCGCGCTCGCCTTCCCCTCCACTTCGAGCACTTCTGGCTCCTGCAGCATCATCTGCCGCTGCTGATGTGTTTGTGCTTGCTCCTCGGCTTCAGGATTGGGGCTAGGGGACCGCCGCATGGAGGCCGGCATCACATCTTCGAGCTCTAGGGCGACCTGTCACGTGACATCACGTCACGGCACGTCATGTAACGGAACGGCGGTTCGGCTCGTTACGCCACATCATATTAAGGCATTTTTATCATGTACCACGTTCATGGCATGAAGGGTACGGTACGCCTCGTCACGTTATGTCACCTCAATGCGCATCGTATCACGCAATGCCACGACACGGTACATTACTATCACGCCAGGGCAGCGGGCAGCACGAGATGGCGGTATGCGCAAGCTGCGGGCATGCTGCTGGAAGCGCCGAGTGCGGTGAAGCGCAATCGGCATGCACGCCGTGTATCGGACGAGGACAACTAACTGCCTGTCGTACACATTATCACGTGGGCCAGCAAGACCGAGCCATGTGACCAAGGTCGTACCGCAGTCGGGCGCATACGAGTGCGATAGAAAGCAGCAGTGAGATGAGCTGCACAACGGATCACGCCTTTCAGACGCGCACGGGCAGAGACGGGGAGACAAATTTCTGTTGGCGCAGGGTGATTTAGTTTAAAATGTGGAGGCGGGATGGAGGCGCAAGAGGGTTCCAGGGAAATTCACGTGAGCGTACGAGCGAGTGTTGTATCTCGGTCGCTTGTCTGATTTTTTTTCCAAGAACGATTTTCCCCGACACGAACGTCCCCAGGAACGAGACATAAGGTTCACCCCTCACCCTCACCCTCACCCCCACCCTCACCCTCACGCTCCTGACACGACTGGCCCCACCGCCGGTTACTCGCCTGCATGCCCGGACCCCACGGCGGCAGGCACCTAGGGGCCACCGCCTGCAACAGCAACGCATGACGCATGACAACAGCAGCATGAGCTGAAAAGCGGATGAAAAGCGGATGAAAAGCGGATGCGGAAGTAATAGCAACAAGATGATGACGTCACCCGCAGTGGTCGTGCGTGACGCGGAGCAAAGCAGCGGTAAACAGTACGTCAGGTTCCGGAGAAGGTACGGCACTTTTGTTTCTTTTCTTGAGCATGCTTTGGTGCCGCTGTCGGGGCAGTTAGTAGGCCCGAGTACTGAGCAAAAACGCGATTCAGGATTCAGGATCCGCTGGCGACCGCTCCCTGTCATTGCTCCTGGATCCAGAAAGAGACCGGATCCCCACATGACACCGACCTTCACCGAACTCCCGAACGAGTCCTGAGGCCACCACTGTTTCTCACGTCCATGCGGGTTCCTGTTCAGGGTTTCCAGGGTTCCCTTCCTCTCCAAACTCCAGGACCCCAACATCAAGCTGGAATATGTAGGAGGCGCATGAGACACCTCTTATCTATTGGCGCCAGCCCTCGCCCCGCTAGTCCCGCAGCTTAATCCCTCCCCCTCCCCCTCTCTCCCTCCCCCTGGCCCTCCCCCTCCCTGGAGTCCCCCATGGCGCGCACCTCACCTCCGTGCTACGTCAGCTCCCCCGCCCCTTACCTAGACTTCAATCCATGCTCCCCAGCTACGGAACCAGCCCTACCCGATACATCTCCCGCGCCTGACGCCAGGTGCCGTCAATGACAACTAACAAATAGGCGGGAGCAGGCACTGGACCCGCAGTACTGCAACTCGTCCCCGTAGCTGGAGCGGCAGCGACTGCGGCGGCAGCGGCGCGTTCTGTCGCTTTTGCAGCGGGGTTGGACGCCGCTCCCCTTTCGCTGAGTCCAGCGGCAGCGGCAAATGCAGAGGTAGCGCCCACGCCGCTGCCATAGCTCGGACCGGTGTTGGACATCCCGTTGCCGCGTTGGCAGCTTCCAGCTCTGTCCCAATCAGAACCTCTGTCGTCGTCGTCGTCGTCGCCATCATCATCAAGAGGCTCTGAGGCCGTGATGAGTCTGGTACTATCTGGTGCGCGGCGCGGCCTGCTGCTCGGGCCCTTCAACCGAATTTCTTGTCGGCCATCCATGCAGATGCTGCCTGAACTGCCCAACGATGGGAAAAGCCCCACACGGTGCGCATCCGCTGCTGTACCGACACTCTCTGGGTGGCTCCCTGCTCCTCCTTCTCCTCCTTGTCCTCGTCCTCCTTCCCCTAACCCATCTGGGTGGCGAACTGCAGATGCATTGCTTGTTGCATCGAAGCCGTGGGCATCTGGCGGGGCAGTTGGAGTGGACGAAGCCGAATACAACATCGATTTTCCGGCGTGGTGTAGTCGGAGCGAAACAGATTCATGAGCTGCGGCTGCTGGTACTGGTTCTACTGGTCCTGCTGGTGCTGCGATTCGAGGATAGGCAGGAGGGGAGGGAATTGAAGGGCGACACGCCGCCGGCTTCCATTCTGCAGCGCGGCCCAGCGCCGCCGTGTGTGCGGCGCTCTCTGTAAGGCTGCGCAGATCTTGAGCACCTGCGGACGACCAGAGAAGCGGACCACCAAGTAAAATTGTAGCCAATATACATGTTGCATCGTATTTACTTATACGACATTTTCATGCAGAGCATGAAGTCCCAGGTACGGAGTATGAACGTCAGCGAAAGCACAGGGGACGAGCGTAGTGAGGACTTCCTAGCCATGTATGTGATCCAAACAGGGCCAGTATCAGGTTCGAGACAGTAAAGGATCGGTTTGGCAAGCGCAGTGGCCGAACATGGTCCAGCTACCAATCACACATATGTACCTGACTACGCAACCAAGTGGGCAAGTCCCTGGTCACGCTGGGCCTGGCTCGAGGGTGAAAATGAATATTCAGATCCAGAGCTTATTATAATTTTCGATTCTGGCCGGCACCCAGGTCCAGGACCTCACCCGGTCCAGGGAACAGCACATACAGAGGGTAATCCCCGCGGTGGGCTCCCTGGAGCAGCGCTTCCACAGAGGGGTCTGAGCCCGGTAACTGCTGGGCAGGGCCGCGGGGATGAGGCCAGGCATGGACGGACGACAGGAAGCGGTAATGCCGGGATTACTGGATTACATTTGCTTTTCTAGGAAGATGATGAGAATGGGAAAGAATGTGGGGTTCCAGGCCGTGGCCTGTCTTCGTGGGACTGGGGCCGTGTAGCTGCACGCATTGCCTGCCGCGCGCAGTTAATCTTGGCGGGCAAACACGAGTGGGAGTGCGTGTGCATGTGGGGCCTTCCTAGACATGCGTACCCTTGGTCACGCAGCGAACCGAGGACATGACACCTAGAGGCAGATGAAGTGGCGCCGTTAGGATGCTCTGTCTGTTGTGTGGAGCAATACATGCATCTCGGTTGCTTTTATGTTGGGTCAGTGAGCGTAAGTAGCAGGCTCCGTGTGAGTGGGGCCCCGCAAGGAAATCCGCAGGGACCCCGGGTGTACGCGGGTTGAAGTTGCCCACGTAGAGAGGTACGTGCGGGTGCCACTGCGCACGATGTATACAAGGACCCCGCAGCGAGCACCTGAAGCTTACGGCCAGTGACCACAGTCAGGGAGTCCTCATCCAGGCAGCACTGCAGCAAGGGGACCGTAGCCAACCTTTTCCTGCGCATCGGAAGGAGGTAAGTACCCGGGCTGCATTGTTGATATGCCTTGTCTGGGGACCAGACCATGACCGCACACTTGAACCGAAACATTCAACTCCTGTTTTCCTCACTTGAGCTCATGCGGGTGCCGGAGGATGAGTACTCGGCCAAAAAGGCGCAAGGGTTGCGCTGGCAATGCCCTGCAGACGCAAACCCGCTGCGGGCGCCTGCAGCAAATCCGGGTTTCTTTTCCCTTTTTCATCCATACATCCATGTACGCATGAATATGAAAATTCATATTTCCTTACATGCATCTTTCACAGATTGGCCTCCTGCGATCCTCATGTTCGGCCGCAGCAGCTGGACCAGCCTCCATTTGCATAAACTCAATCACCGGTATAGGTACAACAGGAGAAGTCGATGCAACGTAAGGTAATTTAAAACTTAAAATGCTTTTCTTCAGCCAGCATGCGCATTTTTGGCTTGGGCGAGTTTCGACTTTCCGATGCAGTTGCATTCAGGCAATCTGTATCTCTGCATATGTACGTCAAATGCTATGAACACCTTCGAAGGATATCAACAGGTTAAATAAATACCGCAAAACGCAATTGCGCGTACGGAAAACATTCTCCCCTCGGGCCTGTCCTCCATGCAAACACCACTAAGCAGTCACACTCTTAGGACTACGCACCGCGGAAGCGCCGCCTAAACCATCGCACCGCAAAGCGATTGTATGCCGGTGAGTCGAAACCACAGTGACATCCGTCAGCTAGCTCTGTCCCACGCACTCTAGCGCAGCGAACACAATACGTTGCTCCCATCCGGGCGCCACGCAGCAACAGCCCTGCACTGATAACCTACACACTGGAGGCATCTGCAAGGCCCTGCACCCGGTCACCGCTCAACCGTATAGCGGCTGCCAGGGGTTGTCCTGAGCACGTTGAGCCCTGCAGGAAAGGAAAGGTTTCGGAACGGTCGGCGTAGGTTCCCATAAGTCAGGAGACATGGTATCATGCGGGATCGCATACCCCATGTACCGCTGCATCTCCCCAACCCTACAGTGCTGGGGCCCCCCGGGCTCTACAGTGCTGGGCATGGCAGGCGCCGAGCCTGAGGCAATATTAACTGCGTAGCGCATATGGCTGAGCAGTTGTTGTGCGGTCCGGCGCCAGGCCAGTCAGGTTGCCATGCCTCCCACCGCTCAGCGGTAGCCGGAGCGGCTGAAAGGAGCTCTTGCGGTAACTAACACGTACCAGTTATCTGATGACCAGGCTACGCCGTTGGCGCTTTCCACTAGGTGCATCGAGTACGAGTGACGGGATACGGGGCTCGTGTTTTCCGCCGAGTAGTGCACGTTCTCGCCGTGCAGGAGCACCAGCGTGCCCGCAGGGCACTCCAGGGGCACAAATGCTGACATGTCGTATGCCGGCTGCGGCTTGTCGAAGAATACGCTGCCATCAGGCGCTAGCAGGAAGCGCCGCCTGAGGCCCTCCTTGTGAATGCCTGGCGGTAGCGCGAGGAGCAGACAATGGTAAGGTACTAGGGTGAGGGTTCGGGCCGAACGTGAACTGTAGCAATGTCATCAAGTGCCATACTCGGAAAGGTTTACATGCTGCACCATGCTGTGCCCACACAGTTGCAGCATCTCTGCCTTGTTTGTAATGGATACACCCACAGCACGTAACCAACGAACGGAAAATCAAGATCCAATTAGTCAAGGTCGCCAATGGAGACGCTGCAACGCAATCAAGCACTGGCCCGCCTTGCGTGCAGAGCCTGAAGCGTGCAGTTCCGGCACCGTTTCACTGGCAACACATTGTCGGCCAGCTACAGACGCTCAACAACTTCATCACATGTTGCACAAGTTTGTTGGATCCTGGAGCAGCTCTTAATTCGGCCGTACCTGGTATCGCCCAGAGGCAGCCGTTGTCCCGGGTAGCGTCCTCCAGCGCCCACCAAAGACCTGCCGTGGGGCCCATCACATAACGCAATTCGCAACATGCGCAGTCAGGCTCTCCCTTCAGGAATCCCAGATATCGATGTCCTCTATATACACCAGCCAGTGGTCTCCGCCCAGCCTCAGCTTGGCCCACATGGTGACAATTCATGGGCTGACAAAACATATTCCCGATACAATGTCCATGGTGAGCTCTGATCCAGGTCGCAAAGCCGCACGCAAAGTGGACAATCTGCGCTGGGTAATGCGCTCGGAATGCTACTTCTCGCACGCTGGGACATATAGTCCGCACGTTCCGGGACGCACATATAATGCCGACAGGGCCACCGCTGGATTTGATTGGCCTCTGCACAGCTTGCCCTCTTGCACACGTGCCACGACCCAAGTGCAGCTCGAGGCGGCACTTACCGACACAGCTAAGCGGCGTTGTGTGGATAAAGGTGGAATCCTGGTGTGGCACTACTTCCCCCCCAATGGATGGTTGTTTAAATATGTACATCGACTGCAGCATAAGTCAGGGAAGGCCAGGGCAAGCCATCAAACCAAGGACCAGGAATTTTTTGCATGTCGGATAGGGCTCTGGTGGAATAAAAGCTTGCGTTGCAGATGGAATAAAGTCTACCAAGAGGTGAGATAGCGAAAAATGGAACGAAAACTTGCGGGTTTAATTGAGGCACGGCCCACTTGCACAGTCAGCGAGACGACCCACTTGCACTGGCAGCGGCCTGTTGTAGCCCAGGCTCCGCAGCACATTGCAGACCGCCGGCGACCGTGAGAACTCCCGAAACACGGGGTCTAGATCGTGGAGAGCTGCATTAGAGGCAAAGGAGTGAGCAAAAGAACGGTAGAAACACAGGCCAGGTGAGGGGAGGTGCCGAAACCCCAGGCCTTCGGCAATCTGCACTATGGCCTTTGGAGCTCATAAACCCTTGCAAATGGAAAAGGCTAGGAACGATTATCAAGCACGGCCGAACATTTAACAGTGTGTGGTTGCTGCCCTTGGGTCCGTTACTTCTGTGCCGTGGCACATACCGTGTCCGACTTTGTTGATGCTCAGCTCCTTGGCCTGGCGCAGCTTGCCGTCTTCGTCAAACGCCTGAAACGGGACGCCAAAAATTAACCACTTCATGCAGATTAGCAAGGGATAGGCTCAAACCAACCTTGTCTTCAAAAAAGAAGCCCACGTCGCTCGCGCTGTTGAGGAAGTAGTTATCCGTCTTCTTGGCCTACACCCGTGTGCGAAGGTCGACCAGCCGCATATAAGGCAAGGCATACAGGAGGGGGTGACCGGCCAAACCAGGGGGTGAGGAAGATACCTGGTGTGCTTGCCCAAAGCCACTTGGAACACGGTTGATGAACCACCCACTTGGGCAGTTATCAAGCCCTAGTACCCCTACACGAAACCCAGGGCTGCGGGACATCTAGGACGAACCTGGTCTCTAGTCGTGAAAATAGAAATGGTCTTGGGGTCAAAATCGTGCAAAAGCGTGTCAATACGCTTACGCAACCGTATGCAGTCTTCCGGGCTGGCAAATCGCTCCAGCACCAGAAAACCTGCAGTGGTACACCATGGAGTCCAAGTGTTAGACCATTAAAGCGTAACAATCCTGAGAACATCGTACCGTCATTGTGGAACTGCGCGACCTGCTCCGGCGTCAACGTTCCGCTAGATGTGGGTGCTGTTTTGTACGCTGCTATAAGCGAAGCAATTTTCCTTGTGGCCCTTTTCGCCTCTTTCCCTCGTGCGACATGCTGTCTTCCGTGGCTTCCAAAGCGCAACGACATCATTTGTCCCAGCTAATAATCGAAATTCTGCTATTTTTGCGTGCGTAAAGGATATACCTTCTTCTGTTTAAGCTATTAGTACAACACTTGCGAAATGCACTAGATCCAGTGGTCTGCGTATACCTGCAGTCAGTTGGCGAATGGCGCAGGTTCAAGCGTCTGATTTGATGTGATGACCACGCAACCAAAACCCTTTTTATTGTGTACGGCATACCCAGCACGACAGAGCATGGATCCAGCTTGCCCAGAACAGAGCGGACCTTGCCGCATGCTTTCGCTGGAATGGAAATTTACTTTCGCTGTCTATGTAGCTCTTATTACAGTTTTCAATATTGAGGAAATAACTCCGGCCTTGCACAGAGTGACTGAGTCAGCTTTTGGGCGAATCCTGGACCGCCTCCTTTAACATGCTACACGACAACTGCTGACAGGTGTTTAACATAGGTGTCTTGGCGCTTGTAGAAACTTTGGTGCACTTTCATCGTTGAGGGTATCGCTGGGTCCGTAACCGGGATGGAGATTACAGAGGATGCAGCCTTGGGTACATTACGATCAGTCTTTGGCCTTAATAGCTTTCGTCCAGGACAACTAGAAGCCGTTTCAGCAACACATGCTGCACAAGATTCGCTCATCATACTGCCCACTGGAGGTGGAAAAAGCGTTTGCTTTCAGCTCCCATGTCACCTACGGCCTTTTGGATTTACAGTTGTCATATGTCCATTAATTGCTCTGGCCAAAGACCAGGTATGTACAGGCCTTACAGGCCTTGGAACCTTGGAACGCTGGCTATGCACATATACGGCACGGTGCATTGCTTACTGAGTGGCTTTACCCATGGCATAGGTGGATAGATGTGATGAACGCGGCATATATGCCGAGGTAAAAGGATGTCGTTAGTCCTAGAACACGGCGGGTTTGTGGCCGGGCTGTCCTACCCTGTGTGTCTCCGCTTCGCTTGTCAACGCGTTCCGGGCTTTTCCTTCGGGTTACCTCGGGTTGCTAAACCAAGACCGCTTCATTACAGAGGTGGAATTGCGAGGTGCCAGAGTCGCGTAAGGCTAGCATTGCCAAGGATATGGTCAGCGACGAGCCCAGCTTGCGGCTCCTGTACATCACTCCTGAAGGGCTGCGTCACCCAAAGCTTATGGAAAGCCTAAAGGTGAGATAGAATTCAGACTTTGCTTGGACCCAGGTTCTGGGTTGCTCGCCAATTATCGAACACTCTCATGGATTTGCAGGAGGCTTGCGCCAAAAATAACCTAGTGTCCTTCGCTGTTGACGAAGCCCATACGGTGCGTGCGCCGCTGTCCGTTTGTGGCGACAACCGACGTTGTCATAAACCTTCTCATTTTATGTACTTACAGGTTAGCGAATGGGGACACGACTTCCGGTAAGAGGGGTAAGATGGTAACCTGCTTATAGTAAATCATCACAGTATCTTGCGCCTCTACTCCCGGACTCCCCAGCACAAATTCTCCAAATGTTTTGTTGGCCACAATTTGCTTCCGCTACTATGCATGGGCGGGCAAGAACTCGGCTGCATGCATGTTGAAAATATGTTAGGCATGCAGCTTTCGTTGCACCAGACACGAGCAGGTGTGCCTTTCGTTTGGCGTGGCAACGTACGTGGGGGGACTTAGTTTCAAATGTTGGTTTATCCGTATACCCATGATACCGCGTTCCTGAGCACCGTCCGGGCGCCATTTTGTGCTGGTTTCTAGGCCTGCGTACCTGGAGCTGTCCTGCCTCAAGTTGGAGTTCCCAAGCATACCTGTTGCTGCTCTAACAGTAAGTATTCTGCGTTTGCTACGACAGGAAAAGTTTTTGGTAGGACTGCGCCAGAGTTCCTATGAACCTCGTGCGTTTTTTGGATAGTCCAGCAAAATTGGACAAGGAGGATTATCTTCCTTTGACGGAAACCATTTGCAGTACCTGTTAGGAGGTATAATTTCCATTGCTTGGCCACAAATGCGTGATTTGGGTTACAGAAGAAGGCGTTCACGTAGCCGGTGGTCGCTCATACGCGTCGGGCCTGATGTAACTGTGCCTGCTTTAAGAAACCTGCGCCGCAATGGGCCTTGATAACGCGTAAGGACGGCCCACGTTGACGGAACACCCTGCCCTCCCGCAGGCGAGTTGCACCTCCAAGGTCAGCGATGACATCATCTCGGTGCTGCGGCTGCGCTGTCCCCGCATAATTAAGGGGTCATTCAACCGCCCCAATATCGGTTATCAGGTACTTAAACGGAGCACGCCGGATGGCGAAAGCCCAAGCCACCCACAAAACAGGACAGGATTTTGATTTGGGTTTGGCCGATTGGGATGTCTGTGGTGGTCCCTGTGTTGGCCCTGCCAGTGCTGGTCCTACTTCACATAGAGCTGCACTATTACACAGGATTCCATACGGAAGTAGCTCTGCCCACTGTTGTTTTATTTGTACGCTGTACTCTCCTCCAGGTGCGCTACAAGGAGCTGTTGGGAGATGGAAGCGACAATGCAGCGCTGGAGGTAGGATCTGGGTTGGCCAGCCCAGCGCTTCTCCATCGCAGATGCCCAAACAGGCCTTTGATTCTCCAACCGGGGAGGTTTTCATCATTTGGTGCACATCCATGCAGGACCTCATTCGCTTTATCGAAGAGCGTCCTCACCAGTGCGGCATCATCTACGCACGGCTGCGGTAGGCTCTGCAGGTCGCTTTTAGCTAACAAAAGCTGTTGATGCATACACTTGGAGGCTTGTTAGCCCACGCCGTCAGTAATGCATTAACACAGCCCCCTTAGTGCTCGGCTGTTGCTTTGTTAGTCAAATTTAGAGGGAAAGCACCGCTTCTTTGGGGATTTTAAGCAGGGTTGCTGTAACACAGGGCCACATGTGACTGGCTGGCATCTTCTTTGGCCGCTCGAGATGTCGAGGTTGGATGCTACCATGCCGGCAAGAGCACCGAGTCTCGCGCGCGGGTGCAGCGCGACTGGAGCTCGGGGGGTATCAATGTCGTCGTCGCAACAATTGCCTTTGGCATGGGCATTGACCGGGCCGATGTCAGGTGCGGTGCGCGGTCAAACGTCCTGGGATGCGGCGTGGGTGAACTACACCGTTAGGCTCTATCTGTGTGTGCATGGGTTGACACAACTATTTACCGATCCGTCATCACCCTTTCTCCTGGCTGATATCGGTAGGTGGGTGGTCCACTGGAACGCGCCGTCCTCCATGGAGGGGTTTTACCAGGAGAGCGGCCGAGCGGGACGTGATGGGCAGCCCAGCCTTTCCATAATGTACGCCAGCCAAGCTGACCTTCAAGCCGCACATAAAATGGAGCGCGGCACCAGGACGGGCGCTGTGGCCGAGGTGGCCAGCTACGCGCATGGCACAGGCTGCAGGCGTAAGCGCGTTGTGAATTTCTTTGGAGAAGAGAGGTGGGGCCTTGGGAGCTGGTTGGTTTGGCTGCAGCTGCTATGTTGGTCAGTATCTGCCGATGGGGGCCGGATCCAGGGTCTGTAGACGTCAGTTTATGGGAAACCATTGATAAGCACATCGCCTTGCCAATCGTCCGTTCCGGTCGCAGGGGATCATGCAACAGCCCGTGTGATGAGGTTTGCGACTACTGCGCTGATCCTCGCGCCGTCCAGCGCGCTTTGTCGCAGTTAGAGAAACGAGAGGCTGAGCAAGGCAACAAAGCAGCAGCAGTACGCGCCCGCATGATGGGCATACGCGTGGAGCCGGATAAGGATAGCGATGATGACACGTGCAGCGTCGGTGACGCGGCAGGTAGATTCTTAATCCTCGTTTGCTGACCCGCCGTGCAATTTTAGTGGTAATCGGGCTGAATTTGTATATGTGGTATCCGCTGACCGCTTAGTGAGGAGTTGCTGCTATTGTGTTCGATTGCTCTCACAGGTTCGTCGCAAGCCCCGCGGTTAGCTGGGGCCTGCTGGTCTAGGGCCACGGCGTACGGTGCCACGCTGAGTGCGGCCAGCACCCTTGCGCAGCAACCCGGAGATATTGATGGGCCTACACTCGGCACCCAAGCGACAACTCGTGCAAACAGCGCTAAGACTACTGGGGCGTTGGCGTCAGGCAATGTTCGTGGAGCCCATGGTGCCATACCCGCGTTGCCTGTCCTAAAGCGGCATCCGGGGATTAAGCGGCCTTTCGCGGCTTCTTTGCCTGCCACTGCCGCAGCTCTCCAGGAGCGGCCTGCAGCCATGTCGTGCGCAGTTGAACCGGAAGAAGAACTGACCTGTTCGAATGGCTTGCAACCGGAGGGCTATGCGGCATATAACGATGGAAAGGCCGACAGGACATTGCAGGGCGTGATCCACTCAACCTTCGTGCAAAGCATCAGTTTTGGTGGCCACGCAGCTGGCGCTGACATTTCCGGTGCGACGTCATTCGCTGGGGCTCACGGATCCCAATCCCGGCAACCTCAGCTGAAGAAATTAAAGCCTAATACTGTTTTACCGTTCAAGGCGCCAGCTCGTACTGTGCCTCCCCCAGCTGCGCCGGCCGCTTTGCCTGCCGGAGTCGCAGCAGCAGGAGGGCAGCAGCAAGACGTGTGCAACGACGCCGGACAGAAACACAGGCCGGTAGGCGAAGGTGGCTTGCGCGATGTGGGCAATGTGGCATACCGCCAGTTGACGGAAGCCAATACGGGACGGCCGCAGGCTGCCGCCAGTTCTGTAAATGGTGTTTGCGTGGCACAGCCCATCGCGAACAGCAGCGGCAAGGACATTGCCGACCGAAGTGCACCATTGTTACTTAAGCGGCGGCTGCCATTCAAGCCTCCGGTGCGTGTGAACCCAGCTTGAAGCTGTAAAGTGACTGAGTTTTTATTTTGCGTGCATGGGCATGAATGCTGCCATGCATATATGCTTCGATGTGGCCATGTTTTGTGTTACATATGGACATAATGCACCTGCCAGTGCAATACTGGAACAATGCGCTAGATGCATGGGCGCAGCACGGGCGCGGGAGTTGCAAAACTCACTTTGTATAAGTAGCATGATGTGAATTGTACTGTACACACACAGGCCATGTAAGCCCGAACTGCTTCATATGCATGTCGCCATATGCACTTCACCTATGGTCGGATAGCCTATCCCTTGGCAATGCTACACACGCACACAAAAACACAAGCTATCCTCCAGAAAATCTTCTGGGTAAATACGTCATCTCAACACTGCCAGCCAGCAAGCCAGCCAAGCAATAACTGCAAGCTTCCATACACGTAACCGTTGGCAACTTTCAAAAACAAATGGATATCAGCTCTCCCATATCAAAGGCCGCAACACCGTGTGGCGGTGCGTGTGAGACGAGGACAAAGCTATGAAGACACTACAAGGTTCGCACTAATCAAATTGAGTATTAAGCTCCGTGCAAACAGCCTGCACACAGAGGGAAGCGCGTCAAAACTTTCCCAAGGCTGTGCAACAGGATGTTTGAGAGCAGATGATGTCATCCCGCATGGTGAGGCGTACAGAACCGTCCAAAAACATGTTGTGCTAGAAGCAGGAAAGGTCCATATTCAGGACGACAACCATCCTCTCCAGCCGCAGTCCTTCAGGCTTTTGCCGGTGGCATCCCCGTATTGTACGAAACCGGGGCACCGTAATACAGAGGAACTGCGAGGGTACAATGCACCAGGGCCAAACATGACATGAGTCGGCCGATTTCCCATGCCATACAGCAGCAATCTTCAGATACCACACTACACCATATGTGCAGCACCAGTGGGACACCAATCAAACTTGCAATTTATCTGTAGCCAAAACAGGGGTGTACAACCAAGTCCATCTAGCGTAGCTACCCTGGGCACGCATGTCCGTACCTGGGGCACCGACTGCCATGGCCCGCGGATCCACGTCGATCTGCGCCCAGTACGAGCCGTGGACGCGCCCTATGCTCAGCGTGGCGCCGCCAGCCGCAAATGCAGGCCTATGTCGTTGAAGCACTGCTTCCAGCTGAGCCAGCCAGGCACCGTAGTTGCCGGAATCGCCATTGAAGCAGCCAAACCCGATGACAAGGTCTGCAACGTGAGCTCGCAAGGAGGGCCATCTTCCGGGATAGAATTTGCATGCACAACGGCAACCGCACGTTCCAGCAGCATCCATGGTTGGGGGTGAGTGCAGCTGGGCAAGCCAGCAAAATTCGATTCCATGATGTGCCTTCAAGAGCCATGCCACAATAGGGATGTGCGTAGGCACGAATGATACGGGAATCCCCTCACGGAAATCCCCTGACGTCGTGCAATTATAAAAAGGTCACAATACACAACGGCAACTATCCAAATCCCCACAGAGCCCACAAAAAATACTTACAACAAAGAAAACTTGAAAACCAGTCACAGCAATACTCTGCTGAAGGGAGCTGCTTGTAGGGGTGGTTGTGGACCAGTTGGCTGAGGTCCGTCATAAAAACGGCCCATACCTTGACAGGTGAAGACCAACCTTGTCATATTTACTGCTATCTATGCTCACGTTTAGATATCACTGTTCATGGCTGCTCAAGAACTTGCCTCCGGTGCAATGCGTCCAAGCAACTGTGGCGGTATGGTATGAGCGCTGTGCGTCATTATTATCTCCCGACGAGCGCCCTTATTGACTTTCTTGAACTACAGTCAGTTACAAAATTGTTAGGAAGGTTAGCCGGAAGCCCAAGATGAAATATCACGTATGAAAGGTGAAAATTTACCTCAACAACCACTCTGAACTGCGTTTCCTGCCAGGGTGCGACCATCCTGCTACAAATCCTTCGTCTGCTTTCTGGGAACCTACGAGAAGCCTAACTAACGTCGGCTACCAGGCTTCGTGTGAAGCTTGCAGGACAAATGACTGCGAATAAACCATGAGACCACTCTGCAACCAACAAATTAACAAATAAATATCGCGAGTTAGGCCTAGGCCATCAGATACCAGTACGGCTATATGGTCTATTCAGAACACTCACGGTGTCCAAGCTCTTCAATAATCATTCGTTCCTTCCCGACTCGGTATTAAGCAGCAATGACGGATTCAGCGAGCATCTTCAGCTTCTCTTGCTGATCCGCCGATATCATCGCTTGCAACGAGTCCTCCAGGTCACCTTCCAAGACGCTGTTCAAGTCAAAGTTCTGTTTGATGCGGTGATCTGACACACGGCTGTCTTTGTAATTATAAGTCTTGATCTTCTCCGAGCGGTCGCCAGTTCCAACCTGGCTCTTCCGAGCTGCATAGATTTCGGCCTGTTGACGCTGAATTTCCATTTCGTAAAGCTTTGCGCGGAGGATCTGGAAGGCTCGCTCCTTGTTCTGTGCCTGCGTGCGCTCCTCTTGGCAGAAAACACGAATACCAGTTGGCTTATGCATTAAGTCCACCGCCGTCTCCACTTTGTTGACGTTCTGCAACAGGGATGGAACAAACAAAATCATGATAGTCTGCCGTGGCATTGCGCTGGCATATAATGAATGAACTGAAATTCGCGATTCTGTTAGGGCCTTTCTAAATGAGGGACAACCTATTAACCATACGTCTAAATCCAGATATACTATACAACACGATTAACTAGAGCTAAAAACCCAAAGCAATCCTTTGCAAGTTAGGGTGAAACCGCAATGCAATATCCTGCAACCAACTGAGCAACCGTCACACACCAACACCCAAGGCTACACACTTTTTCAGGAATAAAATTGCAGCACTCTGCTACCTGAACAAAAATCTGGCTGTCCACCTGTGCGAAGGACAAGGAAGCTTACCTGACCCCCGGCGCCGCTAGCGCGGGCGAATTTGACCTCAATTTCACTCGGGTTTATCTGCACGTCCACGTCCTCAACCTCTGGCATAACTGCCACAGTTGCCGTGGATGTGTGCACCCGGCCGGCGGCTTCCGTCGCAGGCACACGCTGCACGCGGTGCACGCCTGCCTCCCATTTCAGCTTCGAATACACGCTGGTGCCAGATATCTCAAGGATGACCTCCTTGTATCCACCGGACTCTCCTTGCGTGCAGCTGACTAGTGAGGCCTTCCAGCCCTGCCTGTTGGCGTAACGCTGATACATGCGCATCATGTCACCCGCCCATATCGAGGCTTCGTCTCCCCCAGCTCCCGCACGAATCTCAAGCATGATATTGCGATCGTCGAGGGGATCCTTGGGCACTAACTGCAGCCGCAACTTGTCTTGTAGCTGCGCAAGGGATACCTCGAGCTCTGCAATTTCAGCGCGTGCGAATTCTGCCATCTCTGGGTCATCCGCAGCCTCGTTTTTCAAGTATTCCGAAGCGTCCGAAAGCTGCTTTTCCGTGTCCTTATATGTACGATACGCGTTGACCGTCTCCTCCAAGTCTGCAGCCGCCTTGGCGACTTTTTGAAACTCGGTCGAGTTCGCAGCCACCTCTGGATCCGCCATCTTCATCTGCAGCTCCTTGAATGTCATTTCAGCTGCGCTGAGTTTCTCCACCATATACGTTTCCAGCGCGTTGCAAGCAATGCTTCCCCGAATAGGCCGATGGACAGTAACCAACGGGGCCGGAGGCACAAGCCTTGCTGGTTTGAAAGCAAGCATCGTTCGGCACGGCCGACAACTACGCAACAAGTGCCTTTGACACGTCTGTGGCAGCATTTTTGCACACCTCAGCGACCTATATACCCTGAAAGAAA